AAGCATGCTATCAAATTGTATTAAAAGCAGATATTAAATTGATATTAGAGACCGGATTGTTACTGCTATTTCTGTACCAATAAAACTATATTATGAATGTAAGTAAGGTGTGTAAATTGGAGGCCTACTTACACTGGAGTGTATGGAGCTGGACTGGTAAAACATCACAGTGTGCAAATTACCTCAATGGCTGCATGACACCAAAAAGGAATGGGCAACTAAAGTTTTCATTAATGATTAAAGGTACAGTAAACCACCACACCTATAGCTTACTAAAGGACTGAATTAATTTGGTGGGAAATGTATGCCCCTTAGTAGATAGCTTGGTATATTTTTTTTTTTTTGAGACAGGGTCTCACTTCAGTTCCCCAGGCTGGAGTACAGTGGGAGGATCTCAGCTCACTGCAGCCTTGACCCCCACCAAGCTCAGGTGATTCTTCCACCTCAGCTTCCCGAGTAGCTGGAACTACAGTTGTGCACCACCACACCCGGCTATTTTTTTTTTATTTTTAGTAGAGATGGGGGTCTCGCTATGTTGCCTAGCCTGATCTCGAACTCCTGGACTCAAGCAATCCACCTGCCTCGGCCTCCCAGAATGCTGGGATTACAGGCTTGAGCCACTGCACTTGGCCTCTGCTCTATTTTTAGAGTGGGTAACAATTGTTTACTCAATTTTTAGAGTGGGTAACAATTGTTTACTCTCATTGTTACTAATTCTACTAGTAGTAGAGCTCTTTTCTCACCTTTTAGTAGACATCCTGTTTTGGAGAATATTATGCTTAACAAAAATTCTCATTTTTCAATTTCTCTTGGAGTAGAGATGTAGTTAAGTTCCCCTACCCTCAAAACATCTATCCCTATATCCCAAAGATCTCTCTTGTCCTGGACCAGAGTGTCTCTGGGCTTTCATTGAACCTCTCACTGCCACTAAGCCCTAGTGTGAACATGACTAAAAGGCTGTTCAATTAGCTTGGGAATGTGGGAAATTTAACAGCATTTTAGTTATTTGGCATCAGGCAGGAGACTAGCTTTATCTCTTTGGGGAATGGGGATGCGTACAATCAGGAAGCTGTAGGAAGAGAGGATATTATTTGTCTTGGAGAGAAGGCTGAAAGTATATAAAAAGCCTCTGAGACCATGATACGCTATTTCATTTCTGAGACTGAAAGGTAGATCACTGTAGGAAGTTTTGGATATGAGAATTTTCTAGTTAAAAAAGAATGAGTTTCAAGATGTAACATCTTTGGAACTCTTATTTTATGACTGATATATGTGTGTGCCGGAGACCAACTGTCCCAATTCATCTGGGATTGAGGAGTTTCTAGAGGCATGGGACTTTTCAGTGCTAAAACTGGGAAAGTCTCAGGCAAACTGGGATGATGAATCCACCGTAGTGCCTGATTCTTTGCTACATACTTCATATATATTATTATCTAATCCCCCCAGCAATCCATGATATGTATATTCAGGCTGGGTGCGGTGGCACACGCCTGTACTCCCAGCACTTTGGGAGGCTGAGGTACGCAGATCACTTGAGGTTAGGAGTTCGAGACCAGACTGTCCAACTAGATGAAACCCCGTCTCCACTAAAAATACAAAAAAATTAGCCGAGTGTGGTGGCACATGCCTGTAATCCCACCTGCTAGAGAGGCTGAGGCAGAATTGCTAGAACCTGGGAGGTGGAGGTTACAGTGAGCTGAGATCGTGCCACTGCACTCTAGCCTGGGCAACAGAGCGAGACTTCGTCTCAAAAAAAAAAAAAAAAAAGATAGATATTCAAGGTAATATAGCTAATTAACAGAGCCGTGAATTGAACCAGATCTGCAGAGCCAGAGCAATTAATCATTAAGCTACGCTGACTCTTCAAAAGGGTGATGAAAGAGAGCCCTTTGATATGAGAATAAACTCAAGGTGGGGAGAGGGTTGGAATGGATTTGTAATGAAATCTGTCTTGGTAGGTTCATCCTGACAAAAATCATCATCCCCGGGCTGAGGAGGCCTTCAAGGTTTTGCGAGCAGCTTGGGACATTGTCAGCAATGCTGAAAAGCGAAAGGAATATGACATGTAAGTTGGAGATGGGAAATCATCAGATAATGGTAAATGAAAAATCCTTAATAGGAGAGGCATCTGGACTTGGGGGTGGAGGCTCGTTGAGGTGGAGAGAACTAAAGTCACTTGTCTTTCTCGCTAGACAGGGGCCTCAAGAGGCCAATTGATGTGTCTCCCTTTGTCCCTCCCTCAATACCTTCTGACTTACAAAGTGTTTCTTCTCTTAGGAAACGAATGGCAGAGAATGAGCTGAGCCGGTCAGTAAATGAGTTTCTGTCCAAGCTGCAAGATGACCTCAAGGAGGCAATGAATACTATGATGTGTAGCCGATGCCAAGGAAAGCATAGGTATGAAATAGAAGGAGAGGGATGGGACAATCACAGCTCAGGGATTAGGTAACCAAAGATCTTCCTCGTGAGTATTGGTAATTATGAGTTACATCTGTATCTCATAATTAGTAAAAAGACCCTTAAGTTTCTACCTTTGTCATATTGTCAAGAGATTGACTATTTTAATTAGCACTAAGAAAAATTAGCTTTTAAGATAGAACATTGAAGGCATATGAAATATCTAAGTGGGGGTAATTTTAGATGTTTCAGCCCTACTTGTGAATAATGGTAAGACTACTAGTAATGCCCTAAGTAGGCTTGACAAATTATTAAAGAACTATCCTTTTGTTGGTTGCAGGAGGTTTGAAATGGACCGGGAACCTAAGAGTGCCAGATACTGTGCTGAGTGTAATAGACTGCATCCTGCTGAGGAAGGGGACTTTTGGGCAGAGTCAAGCATGTTGGGCCTCAAGATCACCTACTTTGCACTGATGGATGGAAAGGTGTATGACATCACAGGTACTCTCTGTCCTCTAGAAATACAGGCTCATACTTCCTGATCTCTTATGTGCTCTAAACTGCAATGTTTTGGCTAATTATTTCTCATGTTTACAGAGTGGGCTGGATGCCAGCGTGTAGGTATCTCCCCAGATACCCACAGAGTCCCCTATCACATCTCATTTGGTTCTCGGATTCCAGGCACCAGAGGGCGGCAGAGGTAGGTGGTATTTCTGTCAATAATCTACCCACTATTTCAGTTTTGAATATGGTTTCAGATGACCTGCTTTTTAGGACACTCAGGGGCCTTATTTTTTAGGAAGTTTGGGAACTGGTAAGTATATCTAACTTTAGGTAACCATATGACTCTAACATCTCTTGCCTTATTTCTGTTTTATCTCAGAGCCACCCCAGATGCCCCTCCTGCTGATCTTCACGATTTCTTAAGTCGGATCTTTCAAGTACCCCCAGGGCAGATGCCCAATGGGAACTTCTTTGCAGCTCCTCAGCCTGCCCCTGGTGCCACTGCAGCTTCTAAGTCCAACAGCACAGTACCCAAGGGAGAAGCCAAACCGAAGCGGCGGAAGAAAGTGAGGAGGCCCTTCCAACGTTGACGCCCCTTCTCTTTCCTCAAAACAATGTCAGGGAGTCAAAAGGGCTGTGTACAGCACAGGATGGAGTTTGATTTATCCCTCCTCCCCCAACACCTAGGAACTGAATCTTTTGTTTTTTTTTTTTTTGAGAGACGGAGTCTCGCTGTATTGCCCAGCTGGAGTGCAGTGGTGTAATCTCGGCTTACTGCAACCTCTGTCTCCTGGGTTCAAGCAATTCTCCCATCTCAGCCTCCTGAGTAGCTGGGATTACAGGCACACACCACCACACCTGGCCCAACTAATTCTTTTTTGTATTTTTAGTAGAGACGGGGTTTCACCATGTTGCCCAGGCTGGTCTCAAACTCCTGAGCTCAGGTGATCCACCCGTCTTGGCCTTCCAAAGTGCTGGATTACAGGCATGAGCCACCGCGCCCGGCCTGAATCTTGTCTTTTGACAATACCAAAGAAATAGGGGGTAGCTAGAGTAAAGAACCTAGGGCCTGGACCTGGGCTGGACAGTATATCCCTTTAGGTGTGGGAACTGGGTATTTCCCTGGGGTCTGTATGCCTTTGTCTTGTCATTTGCTTTTAGGGCAGATGACACTTTTTCCCACCCTTTTAAAGCCACAGTCTGTCTTCTTTCTTGAACCATTTCAGGAGGAGCCCTCTCCTTTACCCTGATATAATATTTAAAAGACAGAACAAGAAAGCATGTAGCCCTAATGATATGAGATTACCGCATAGAGTTCAGAGAGTGGAAACTGAATTTTCCCTCGACTTTCACTTTGTGGGTAAATCACCCAATTTTAGGCTCTTTTCTGCAAGGATGGCCAAAATTAATCATTTTTAAAAAGTAGATTCATGCCCACTGCCCTTGGGTGAGGGGGAAGGATGCAGGGGTTCCCAGAAGTCCCCATGTGATTCAAGGGTTTGTATTTTTTTTTTTAAGTTTGTTCATATTTGTATGTACATACCTATTTAAAGCCAGGGGATTATCTTTCTATAAATGTATAACTGGTAACCTGTATCTTCCCTCTTTTTTGCCCATATAACTGGAGCCCTTTTTCTCATTTGAGAATCCCTTCCCAAGAAGTGTTAAGCTTAGAGTGAAGGGCACCTCCTACTGGACCAAAGGAGAGGGGACTAGAGAATTGTTTTAAGTTTTATACATTAGGTCAGTATTCCATCTTCCTACCCCCAGCCTTATGAGGACAGCTCTTTGTCCTTCCTGCTGATTAAACTGCAGCTATAGCTGGAAAAAATTATTATAAGAAAAATACACAGCAAAACAGAGCTGGAAGGTGGTAGGTGTAGAAGATATGGAAAGATGTAATCACTGAACAAGCTGCCCAAATGGCTTCCTGCTATGGAGGAGAGTGATTGGGCCCTTACCTCACCTGCCTTCCTGATTCAAAGAAACTTGCCGCTGGCAGGACTGGGCCCAGGAGCCCCATTTGCCAATCTCTTCTCTTCCTGGGAGTCTGGAAAAGGTTGTATAGTTCTCACGCTTTCAAGGTGTAGAAGACAGTATGGAGAATAAGAGAAGGATGTTTTATAGTCCTCTGTTTCACTGCCTTCCCTATGCCCATGGAGCTGTCCCAAAACCCATCCCTCAGTATTTGTTGATGCCAAAGACACGAACCCCATGGAACTGGGGCAACTTCGGCAGCAGTACACTGAGCAATGAGGCTGTGTTGATGAGGAAGTGAGCAGCATCATACTTGGTATAGAAGCTGGCCAGGAGATAGCTGGGGAGAGAAAAAAATAGGGTGAGTGAGGTTGGCCTTCCCTATCCATATTCTTTTTTTTTTTTTTTTTTTTTTTTTTTTAAAGAGACAGTTCTCACTATGTTTCCCAGGTTGCAGTGCAGTGACTATTCACAGGTGTGATACGTGCAGTACAACCTCAAATTCCTGGGCTCAAACAATCCTTCTGCCATAGCCTCCCAGGCAGCTGGGACTCCAGGCATGCACCACAGTGCCCTGCTCTTTCTCTTCTATTTTAAATGACCAGTTTTACTGTATATTTACTGTTCTAGGTTATCTAAAACTATTCCAGCTATATCAACAGCATTTACTTTGGGGTTCAGGAGATAGCACCTTTAACTGGAGACTATAAGTCAGTACCTGTTAATTGCTAATGACATGGCAAATGACGGCTGAAGCTATTTCAGTCTGTATGACTGTTAAGAGTCCTCTTTGCTTCCACTCCCTACAGTGTTTTTGAAGATTACTATCAGTTCTGCCTTGATTTACTTATTTTGGCAGTGTAAAATCATTTGGTTTTATTTGGCACTTATCTTTTCTAAGTCTTTTCATTTCCTTACTACCAAGGAGGCAGCAAGGAATGCTTGATTACAGCATTGACTTCTACATTTTACTGCTCTCTGTAGACTTAGAACTAGTATACCTTAATATCTTCAAAGGCTTTTAGATGGGTAGTCTGTTTTTTAACAGCTTCCCTATGGGCCTTTCTACCTGGCTCTTGGAGCTCTTTCTAACCCAGCATATCCTCATTTCCCCCATAGACTCACAGCACAATAGGAGAGATGCTGAGGAACTTGCGGGAAGAGGTAAACTGGAGCCCATAGTCCATTTGCTCCCAGTGTGTCAGTAGCCGAGCCTTTCCTTGGTCAGGAGTCTCAAAAGGTGTCCCTTTCACCGTATGAAGGAAGACATACATAGCCTGGGAACAGGGAAGGTGGCAGTGTGAGGGGCAGAGAGTAGTTCTTCAGTCAAAGAATTATGTTAAGATCCCAAAAGGAACACATAAATCCCCAAACAATTGGTGATTTTATTTTGCTTTTGGTCGGGAAACCCTGGGGTGGGTACAAGGCCGCGGTTTAGTGCTCACCAGGTTATGGATGACGTTGGTCAGGGTCCAGACAACAGGAATGCTGAAGAAGGGGATGCTGAGTAGAACCACATGCAGCAGTCCTACCAAGATGATGTAGGCCAGCCAGATGCCTCGGCTATTCATCACTCGAGTGTTGGGGTTTACTTCGCTGTGCGCCACCCCCACATTCATCCTAGCCATAATGGGGGATCAGGCAGGAGTCCAACTCAGTTTTTTCTCAACCCCTCTTTGAGCTTTCTCCCAGTTGTCTCTCAGATAGCCCCAATTCCCTGAACTCTATTGGGAATGAAGAACTTACCCATCACGCAGAAAATAAAAACTGAAAACTTGGGGAAAACTTTAAAAGACAAGAAGAGTCCTCACTACATTTTAGAGACATAGTCATTTTTGCTCTGATCTTTACACTTCAACTGTAACATGAAGGTGTACGTAGACTTGGGGCACTCCCTTCAGTGAGCGAGGGAAATAGGAGTATCTGACTTTCCTGAAGAAGTTAATAACCATAAAGAGGTCACGCACACCCAGTATTCCAGGAGAAAGTCATGGAATCATCAAAGAACCACTAAGAAGGGATGACAGAGTAAAGCTCACTCTGGTCCCCACTTTGTTCTCTGGGGCTTGTCCACCCTCTCACACCCCTCCGTGGCATGTAAGCAGTCAGCATCCCCATTACTTCTCTCAAGCGTGGGGCACGACAACAACTTGCCCACGGCTTCTGGACTGGGTTCGGAAGGGACCTGAGCTCAACGCCTGGAGAGATGGAGCCTTGGCTCTGACTCCAGGGGCGGCAGTGATTATCTGAACTCGGTTCTTTAAAATTGTGGTAGCTCTTAAGCTGATGATGTCTGGTTAGAAAGCCGCTGTTGCCCGCCCCAGCCCCATCGCCAGTTCCTTAAGCCCGCCCCATGCTCCTCCCAGCTTCCTCCTCACGTTCGTCGGTATTTTCAGGGCTCCCTTCAGCGCTCCCCTCTCAATATTTAGGTCACCGCTTCCTCGGCGCCCCTTTCCTCTCCCACCATTTTTCCTCAGCAACCCTTACGGTCTTTACAGCCCTACCTGCCAGCTCAGATCCCCGTCCTGGCTATGGGCGCAGCGCCGGCTACCACACCTGAAGTCTCCAGGAAGTAACGCCTCCCCGTCTGCCCCTTTCCTATTGGAGGAACACAATCAGCGCTGCCACCACCCATTGGTTGGTGATCTGTAATGCAGATGCACAGTTGGTTGCCATTTCTGTCGTTCGCAAGATACAGTGCCCGCCCCTTTCCCTGTTCCACCTTTTGAAAGAGGTGGGGAAAGCTGCCTAGAGAAGTGAGAACGACGTCAACTGTTGACCAATGGGAAGAGTTGATGGTATGGCGTGGGAGCAAGAGTGACAACGATTGGTCGGTCTTGCATCTCTACGCCTAAGGCGGGAGCTCCTGGAGGCGGAGGCAGCGGGTGGGGGCCTAGTGGAGTGAGGGGTAACAAGATGGCGACCGAAACGGTGGAGCTCCATAAGCTGAAGGTACAGTGAATCGGGGAAGGGCTGAGTTGGACTTTTCTAGGAACTGAATTCTACAGGGTGGCTTGCGCCTTCTCCTACGTGTTGTCTTTGCAGCCTTTTCCACTTCGTTTTTCGGCTCCCACTGTAGCTCTTTTGTGCCACCCTTCCACACTACGCCTTCCCTAATTTTCCATTTCTCCTCACGGTTTTACTGCTATATTTATTTGTTATTTCTGCTCCCTTCATCGTTGTATCGTCCGTCATCCTTCCCCATCGGGTTGTGTAAGTGCCTTCTACCTGTTATACTCCTCGTTGCTTTTCAGGGCTGCATTACGTCAGTTCGTCCCTCCTTTTTGCCCCATGTCGGACCCAGGATCCGTTTTTCTTCCCTGGGATGATGTTTCCAGTCTGTCGTTCGAAGCTGAGATTCCCCTGTTAGCAAATGGTGGCATTTTTGTGTATTTCTCTCTAAATAGGTCCCAGACACTCAGAAAATACTTCCACTCCCCTTTTCTAGGTGGGATTATGCCCCCAGGCCGAATTTTGAAACCAGGGAGAGGCCTCTCAGAAAAGATCGGTCTCGCCTTAGAAGCCTGGGATTGAGGAGACCTTGAGAATAGTAAAAGTACAGACACCTCTGATTTAAAAGTTTTCGAGTTCTCTCACGCGGCTCTCGGCCCGCCGGCCTTCCTCACACACCGTCTCCTACCACCATAGAGAACTCATACCTGCAATATTTGGGAAAAACAGTTCCAAGGTTAAGATTATCTCTTTTCCATTTCATATCTCGCATGGGCCCTGCATCTCCTGGTGTTACCATTGGCTGACACTGAATCACAGAAGCTGTTTTAAATTGTCTTGTGAGAATCTTGGTAGTTTTCTCACACCTAGATATATAAAAACGTTAAAAATATATTAAAAAGAAGAAAACTTTAAAAAGTATTTTCTTTTAGGGTAAATTAAGATAATCTTGATTGTGGTTTCACAAGTAGTTTTCTCATTACATGTTTTGGACAAACCAGGCTGATATAGCTGAAACTGAAAAGTGATCCTTTAAAGCTTGAAGAGTTTTTTTGTTTTGTTTTGTTTTTTGTTGTTGTTGTTTAAGAAAGCTTAAGGGTAGTAAGGGTAGGGAGAGGACCCTTCTTTAGTCACTTATTAGTTGACTCCAATTAGTCTTTCTGTGAAAGCTGGTGTTTTCTTACTCTTGGATTCTAAACTCTATTAGTGGATTTTTGTGTTATTCTGGAGTTATTGTTAACTTGATGGTACTGAAATGCATTGATTATATCAGTGGTCTCCTGATATTGTGATGAATAAAAAAAAAAAAATTGAGCAATCATCTCCACTTTGTGTATATATTCTGTACTTATAGAAATTGTATACTTCCATACTGTTATAAAACATACACAGAAAAGGAATTTTTGAATGAGATAAAAAGGAACTGTGAATAGAAGAGCTAATATTTTTTTCCTATTTGTCCTATTTTTGAAATCCCTGGAGTAAGTCACCAGCTGCCTGATGACTTACTTACATTTATAGATTGTGTTGGTTTATGGAGTTCCTCCTTCCATCAAATCTGTATTTGTCAGGTCTATATTAAATTTGTATTTGATTGGATAAGTAACTTTTACATAAAGTCCTCTGACCTGATTTTAGTGTTACAGTCTAAGAGAACATTAGGCACTCTTGACAGCCTAAAAAGAACTCGCTCTTTAATCACATTTGCTTGTCTTTGCTTTTTCTCTAGAGCACTTCTTAACCTTTTGGAGGTCACAGATATCTTTGAAACTCTGATGAAAGGTATGGACCCTCTCCCCAGAAAAAGGCATGTACACATATTTTGCATGCAGTTTGAGGGGCTTCATGAAACTACCTTGTAGCCCTGAGGAGTCCATGGACCTCTGGTTAAGAACTCATGCCTTTGGCTGGGCGTGGTGGCTCACACCTGTAATCCTAGCACTTTGGGAGGCCGAGGTGGGCGGATTGCTTGAGGCCAGGAGTTCGAGACCAGCCTGGGCAACATGGCGAAACCCTGCCTCTACCAAAAATGCGAAAATTAGCCAGGTGTGATGGCAAGTGCCTGTAGTCCCAGCTACTGAGGAGGCTGAGGCACAAGACTCGCTTGAGCCCGGGATGGAGGTTGCAGTGAGCCGAGGTGGTGCACTGCACTCCAGCCTGGGAGACAGTGAGACTCCATCTCAAAAAGAAAAAAAGAACTCATGCCTTTGATTCTGATTTTTAGGGCAGTTAGTTCCACTGGCGATCTTGATGCAATGATCCTGACTTCTGGGTTGACTTGGGGTTTTATTGCCTTTGAAAAAAATCTTGGCTGGGCCCAGTGACCCACACCTCTAATCCCAACTCTTTGGGAGGCGGAGGCCAGGAGTTTGAGACCAGCTTAGGCAACATAGTGACACCCTGTCTCTACAAAAAATTAAAAAATTAGCTGGGCATGGTGGCGCACGCCTGTAGTCCCAGCTCCTCAAGAGGCTGAGGTGGGAGGATTGCTTGAGCCTGGAAGGCCAAGGCTGCAGTGAGCTGTGTGATAATTGCTCCACTGCACTTCAGCCTGGGTGACAAAAGGAGACCTTGTCTCAAAAAAAAAAAAAAAAAAAGAAAAAAATATCTCCATTGTCATAAAGAGATTTTGGGCTTTGGTATGGAACTTCAGGGGAAGGGAATACCTTTGAAGCAGGAAGGAAACATAGTATGTATCTGAGTTGATATGTAATGTCATATCAACAGCAAATTTCTGAGGATTTTGTAGAAATGCATTTTTTTTTTTTTTTTTTTAAATTGAGGATGGGGTCTTGCTCTGTCACCCAGGCTGGAGTGCAGTGGCAAGATCTCGGCTCACTGCAACCTCCGCCTCCCAGGTTCAAGCGATTCTCATGCCTCAGCTTCCTGAGTAGCTGGGATTACAGGCACGTGCCACCGCGCCTGGCTAATTTTTGTATTTTTAGTAGAGACGGGGTTTCACCATGTTGTTGGCCCGGCTGGACTTGAACTACTGACCTCAGGTGATCCTCTTGCCTTGGCCTCCCAAAGTGCTGCGATTATAGGCATGAGCCACCGCACTTAGCCCATTCTAACACATTTGGAAAGAGAGATTGAACTGTGGATGAAAATGGCTTGAGCTGTAACAGTATCAGATATCCAGTCAAACATCAGAAAAGGAACTATTGCAGAGGAGAGGAGAAAGCGGTAGTAGTGTCAGAGTGTTGAGAATAGTGAGACATTTGTATTGGAAAGTGAAGTGAGGAAATACATTAGTGGTTGAAGATAGTTTGGAAAGGAAAATAGGTAAACTATAAAGGTAAATCAAAAGTGATGTTGAAAAGGGCTTTCTAAGTTGTATAAGGAATTCTGGCCTTTGTCATGTAATAAGTAGGGCTGGGAGCCTTTGGAAGTTTGAAAGGAAGAGCTTGATGTGATCAGCTTGTATTCTGTTGGCAGATAGGATTTGTAGGGGGAGTGATTTCACCACTTAGATGTTTATTTTCAGAGTCATTCCTCTGCTTAAAACCTTCAAATTATGTCCCTGCCAGTCTCTGCGGTATAGTTACTAACACTTCAACTACTGCGGCCTTATTTTATTTCATTTCTTCAGAATGATTGTCTTCATCAGTTGCTAACACTTAGCATTTATTATGTGGCAAAGCACTGTTTGAAGCCATTTGCATGCACTGATTTAATTCTCATAATAACCCTATAAGGTAAATACTTATATTATCCTCATTTGAAAATCAGAAAAACTGTAGCTCAGAGAGAGTAACTGAGTAACTTGCTTTGGTTGCACAGCTAATATGTGGTATATTAAATCCAAGCAGGCTGGGCGTGGTGGCTCACGCCTGTAATCCCAGTACTTTGGGAGGATGAGGCGGGTGGATCACCTGAGGTCGGGAGTTCGAGACCAGCCTGACCAACATGGAGAAACCCTGTCTTTACTAAAAATACAAAATTAGCTGGACGTGGTGGCGCATGCCTGTAATCCCAGCTACTCGGGAGGCTGAAGCAGGAGAATCGCTTGAACCTGGTAGGCGGAGGTTGCGGTGAGCCGAGATGGCGCCATTGCTCTCCAGCCTGGGCAACAAAAGTGAAACTCCGTCTCAAAAAAAAAAAAAAAAAAAAATCCAGGCATCCTGTCTCCAGAATTCCTGTTCTTAATCATTGTACACTGCTTCTCCTTCTTACCTCAACCCAGAACCTTCACATATGCTGCAGTTGGAGTTTTCTTTTGGCTGTAGTACTTCTGCCAGCCTTCCTCCCTAACACCTTTATCTAATTAATTACTACACCCCTTTCAGGTGTTTCACTCAAATATTATTTACCCAAGGAAACTTTCTCTGTTCTATCCACACACATGGTCAGGCCACTTTTTATATAGTTTCATAGGACCCTGTATGTTGTTTAAAAATCAGCTGAACATGCTGGGCGCAGTGGCTCATGCCTGTAATCCCAGCACTTTGGGAGGCCGAGGTGGGCGGATCATGAGGTCAGGAGTTCAAGACCAGTCTGACCAACGTGGTGAAACCCCATCTCTACTAAAAATACCAAAATTAGCCAGGCCTGGTGGCGTGCACCTGAAACCCCAGCTACTCGGGAAACTGAGACGGGAGAATCACTTGAACCCGGGAGGCAGAGGTTACAGGACCTGAGATCGCGCCATTGCACTCCAAGTCTGAGCAACAGAGTGAGACTGTCTCAAAAAAAAAAAAATCAACTAAACACTATCTGATCATTGATTGGCTTGTTCCCTCCCTGCAAGATTATAAGCTCTGAATGGGAAAGGACTTTGTTTTGCTCATGATTATTTGCCTGTATCCAAGATAATACTTGATACACAGTAGGCGCTCAATAATGATTTATCGAGTGAATAAGCATGTCAAGAGTTCAAAAGAATGGGAATGAATTTGAAAGACATTTAGGATGTAGTAGAATTTCAAGTATTTATAGATCAGTTAGATATGGGAAGATTGAAAGATGACTCCAGGGTTTGGGCAGTGATACCTTTAGTC